CCGCCATAGCCTGCCTTCCTCACAACAGCCGCCCCGCCCTGGCAAGGAGGCGATGGGCTGGCGGTGTCCGCTCCAACCCGCACCGCTCGGGACGCGATGCGAAGGAGGGAGGACGAGGCACCATCCAGGGGCCCAGGGACCGCGACAGGAGAGCGCCCCGGGCCCGAGGCAGCGAGCCTGGCCTCCTGCCCACCAGCTGTGAGGGCAAAGGGACGCCACCCCCCCCTCCGCTCCCCTTCTGGCCCGGGTCCTTCGGTTCCCATAGGCGTCTGACCAGCCAAGATCGGGACAGAAACCCGGGGCTGCTGGATATAACCTCTCTGATCCGATCCAGCCCAGCCCAAGGGCCATTACATTCTGACCTGATGTCCACTTGATTCTCTTTCTAAGCCCTCGCTCGGCCCAGGTGACTCCCCCGGCCGTTCCCTTGCAGGCCTTTCTTAAGCCACTAAAAGCGTGCAGGTCCCTCTCCATTCTCTCTTTCGGTCCATCGCTCCCTTTCGCCCTCTGGATCCCCTTCCTCTTCATCTCCATCCTCCACCTTAAGCCAGCCAGCCAGCCATCCGTTTCTCTCCCTTCCTTTTTTCGAACAGTTTGCCCCTTCCTTTCATCCTCTCTTCTTCCTCTGATGTTTACGCATCCCTGTTCAGAGACCACGGCCCGCCCCGCTTGAATCGGCTGTCAAGAGTCCCAGCGATGCCGGAGAGATTCTTTCACACGCGCGCACGCGCGCCACATTCACACGTTCTTCTTCTCCACCTCGTCTTCCATTAAACTAATCAAGAGGTGGGGAGGGGGAGAGGAGGAGGAGGAGGAGGAGAAGCCCTCATACGGTAACAAGAATGGTGGGGGAGGCTTTGAGCTGTCAGCAGCTAACTCTCTAGCTAGCTTTCCAGCCTAGTCCTGCCCCCGTTTCATGCAGGTGCATCGCTGCAGTGGGTGGGAGGGTGGGAAGGAGGGAGGGAAGGAGATCCCTATTGGGTTTGAAAGACGCCCCCGTCCGCCCACCCATTCCTCCTTCGCTGATCTATCCAGGTACGTCACCGGCGCTCCCTCCACTCGCTCTCCCTTCGCTTGAGCGCGAGCGAGCGCGCGCACAGGCGCACACGCACACCCTTATATACGCTCACACCAGGAATACGTCGCTGTCACCTTGAGATGCCGGCAGGCAGGCGTTGCAAGGTGCATGGGGAAAGAAATTCACTCCAAATCGAAAACGGAGGAGGAGAGGACGGGGGCAAAAGGGATGGGAGTGAGGAGGGGGAGGGTCGCAAAAGGGCTTGACTCCCTCATCCACAATTTGCCAGTCTCCCTCCATCCCTTCATGCCCGCATACCAATGATCGACCTAGGTTTCAGTGGCTTTTGAATTCTGCGTCCTCCAGGTCTCCCACGAAACGCCTCCCACTCCCTTACCCCCAATCACAGGGCGCAGGCAAGCGGAAAAAGGCATCTGAAGATGGCAAGTCAAGCCCATTCGATTCCCACCGAGCATCCCTTTCTGCAGTGACTTTATCCACACGCCATCCCAACCGCATTCCGCTCCCCACCCCCGCTCCGCCTTACATCTCTGCATTACCTACGACGGAGGCTTCCCGGATTCCCTCCTCTGGAGCACTGAGCCGGGAGGAGGAGGGGGGTGTCTCTCATCCCGCCTCCACCAAGCTCTACGATTTTTTAACCTCTTTCTTTGGCAAAGAGAAATTTTTTTAAAAAACGTTTCTTCCTCCCCTTCCCGGCATCAGGTAGATTCCCCACCCAAAATAGAGAGAGAGAGAGCGAGCGATTCCCCGTGAAGAGGTACTCACCAGGCCATGCTACAACCGAGAAGAGACTGGAGTGGCGGGGAAGAAGGCAGGCGCAAAGTGGACGGGAGGAGATCGGAATCCGCTGCGCGGAGAAGAGAAGATGAGGCGTGCGAGGCGGAATTGAGGGCTTCTCTCTCTCTCTCTCTCTCTCACTTGGCCCGGATCCAGTCGAGAGGAGGGGAAAAGGGCGGAGAACTTCTTTTTTTAAAAAAATGCCGGCCTAATGTGCCCCTTCAGGAGGGGAATCGGAGGGACTGGGGGGCAGGGCAAGGGTGGGGGGGCAGCCAGTAGTCTACAGCCCCGGGGATGCTGCGGCTGACATCGCCGCGGCTACATCCTGCAAGGATGGAGAAGGCTCGCCGAGCGCTGG